AAATGTTTCTAATTTTATAATTTTTTTTCTCAGTTTTCCCTAATAATTTATTCAGGGTTTTTGCATATTGGAATGAATGCTAGTATTTTGCCCTGTGAAATGGCCTGAGTTGGCCAGCTCCAAAAGTAAGTGGAAGCAAAAATCTAATTATTTCTTCAGAATACATTTTTCCCAGGTTTACTTTAAGTCCATTCTGGGGCAGCCAGAGGGAAGCTCTGGATTCCCACACTGTCCCAGGATGAGAAAGGAGAGACTGGACACATTCCTGGGCACTTTTTTCCTGTGGGAGACGGAGCAGTAGTCAAGGTTCTGAGTGGCAATTTGGAACAAGGCTCTGCAGCAGGATACAGGACAGGGATAAGTTAGTCATGAGCACAGATGAAGAGTAATCCTGCATTAGTCACACCACAGATAATAAGAGCTGGAAAATGATGACATGTGAGCCTCATGTTAAACCCACTTATGCTTAATTCTCTGTGCTGAATATAAATTGTTCTAAAGAACAACGCATTCCTCTACAGAACAATTCTTCACATCATGCCACTAACATCTCTGTCATCTTGATTTAGGCCATTTAAATGTCAGTAAGACAAGTTAACACTGCCTGAGGGCAGCTCTGTCCCATGCACCAGAAATCTTTTTCTGTCATATTCTGCTTTCCTGTACTGCCTCATGAAAATATGCAACTTTCACAAGCAGGGGCAAATTTTCAGAGTGTTACAGGGGAGAGGGATGGTGAATCCCCTTTCTCCCCCCATATTCCTCTCTAGTGCAGTATGAAATATAAAGAATTAAGATCTAGTGTGACTTAGTGTACCTCTGCCACCACCCTGGCCATGCTGAAGCCAGCCTGCCATGTGGAAATGCTTCCCTTCCACTCATTCCAGCCCTGGATGCCTTGATTCTCCAAAGGTGTGTTGTTACGTCCCAAAAAAAACCCCAAATGAAAAGCTGTGGAAGATGAGGGAGCCCAAGTCAAGTTTTCCATATGAATACAAGGAGCCCATCTGCCTTGCAACTTCTTTGAATGCCAAAAGATGCACAATTTCTGCCATCAGATAGGATTGTTAGACATTAAAAACAAAGAAAATATCATAAGCTACAGAATCACAGAATCAATAAGGTGGAAATTACTTCCAAGGTCATTGAGTCCAAACTTTGTCTAGTGCAACCTTTGACCATGCTGGTCAGAGAGAAACTGGATTTTGAAGGGCAGAATAATCCAGAGGGAAAAGGGAGCTACTGTGTTGCTTTCTGAGGATGCAAGTTTAATATAAAAGCTATAATGAATTTTTCTTTTGGCAAAAGTGGGTGTAGAGCCTGACAGCATTAAAACCTTGGAGGTGAAATTTGAAAATGTTAGCAGATTATTAGCAGTGTATTAAAAAAAAAAAATAGTGCAGAAAGTTGCAGTGCTGAATTAATGAAGTGCTGCCCTCTCAACCCCTTGCAGCCTATTTGAAGAGAGTCTCTGAAGCTCCTGCCACAAGTTCCCCCCACCTGAAGCCATGGAGTTGTATGGTGCAGACCACACTTAACCAGGTGCCTCCTACCTGCTGAGGTTCCAGGTTTGTCCCACCTGCAGGAGAATTTCAGAGCAGGGGCTCAAAGGCATCTTTGAAGGAGAGTTAAAAGGAATTTAAAAAAACAATCTTTGGGTCCTGGGAGAGCTGTACCTACTCCTGCAGCTTTCTCTAAAGGTAACATATAGCTTGAGACTCACAGAAAATGTGTTTTACCCACCCTTCTGGAGACTGAACTTCTGAAGCACTGTCACAGCATTTTTTCCTAATGACTTTGTGTATTTGTTCTTGGAGAACAACAACAACTTTGGAGGTGGGGAGGAGAAGAGAAAAATGTTCTCCGAAGATGCTGTTTCTGGAGATTACTAAAATCAGCCAGAAAGTTATCACTGGCACCAGTGGGAACAAGAGCCCAGCACTTTTACCTTCAGAGGCTGGGTTAGGAAGTCTTTTGTTCCTGCCTCTGGTTTACATGTCTTGTTTACACAGGGCAGTTAATGCCAATAAAGGGATTAACCACCACTAACAAGCATCTGTAACAGATAACCTGTGAGTATGGGATGGATTGTGTTACAGCAGGGAAGGGGGGATTTGTAGCTCTGGGTTAAACTAGGAAGCTGCTTCTCCACACAAGGAGCAGCCAGCAGACCTTAAAGATCAGCCAGGGGGTGGAACTGGCTGATCTTTAGGGTCCTTTCCAACCCAAACCATTCCATGACTCTATGAAGGGGTCAGAGAGGCAGCATCCAGCTTTGCAAATGAGGTCATTACAGGCAAAGCTGGAAATTTAGCCCAGCCCCTGATAGGATTGGGCTGCCTCCCAGTGGGTTTGTTTCTCTGGAGACACCCAGTCTGGGTTTGGTCACTCTGTCTGCAAACACAGCTTTAGCTCTTAAGCCCTGCTCTTCTTCCCAGCACAGATATGAAATCCAACAAATAAAAATTGGGATCCTCTCACTGCAATAAAGGAGGAATTTCTATTCCCTGCAGAAGGCTTGTGCAGAAGATGGTTGTTCTGTGTGTGTTGCTTGCTGTTCATTTAAGCAATGTGCCAGGCTGCAGTAAGCCCTAGATTGTGTTGTTTGTTAAGGAGTTTTCAGCAAAATTTCTGCTATAAAATATCACCATGGCAAAAAGAAACCTTTCATGGCAGTGTTTTCATTCAGTAAAAACTCTGGGGGTGCAGAATCCTAGGTCCAGGAGGAAAACCCTAATAAAAAGCAGTGTGAAAAAGTGTATAACAAGTGGCTTTATCTCTCAACACCTGAATTAAGCAGAGAATTTCATCCTGAGTCTCCTATCCCTCCTTTACTCCAGCAAAGCCACATCCAAAGGGATCTTTCTAGCCCAGGGCAGGTATTTCAGTGTTCCCTGCTAGAGTATATCTAACCTGCATAAATACTTAAACACTTGCTGAGAGAGGAGAGCGTTTTGCAAGAGATGGATTTGACAGTGCTGCTGTTCAGGCGTTCACACAGGATGTGGGAAACTGAGGTTCGGGTCCCTGCCTCAATGAATATTGAATTATTTATGGAAAGAGGAACAGCTGCAGTAGGGAGGAGGGAGACACAGCAATGCCTCTGGAGTTGGGGCACTTACAGGGCATGTTGGAAAGGGCAGAGTAAGATCTCATCCCCAGCTATGCCACATTTCTGGTGACTGCCCCAGCCATGGCTGGCTCTCTTGCTCTATTACCTCAGAGGAAACCTTCAGAGCTTGTCCCTGTCCCACTGCAAAACTTGTAAAGCCTCTGTTTAGTAAAAATTACTCCAGTTCTGGCATTTTTCAGCTTTTCAGACCTCTGTTTTTCAGTGTAAGTGTTCTTTTACGCTGTACAAATATTTAAAATGCAAATTAAAAGATTTCAAAGATTTCTGTCTTCCCTGTGACCTCTTAAGGAAGCAGTCTGAATACTTTGCTATATTTTCAGCCTTATTTCCAGGGCCTGCTGGTCTGGGCTTCTGTGTACTTCTGTGGCTGAAGAAAAAATAATTTAAAAAACCAAAATTAATGGGGTTTGTATTTGGTCTGGACAATCATAAGGCTTGAGGTCAGGCTTGCAGGAGTAATTTCCGTAGGCTAACGCTCCCAAGCCGTGTCTTATAAAGTCCTTAAGGATCAGGAAAGGAGGTTGTAAAAGTAAAACATCCTCTGAAGAAATATAAATATTAGGCTCTCAGGCCTAATATTCATATTTCACCACAGAGGTGTTGGCTCACCACCTACAGGCACTCCTCATGGAGTCCAGGAGCTCACTCTTCCACAGAAAGTCCACATGCAGAGGAAGGAGTGGACATTTTGTGGCAAGTAGGGTGAACTTTTGAGTTTCATGGTGCCTCTGGACTGCCTTCCCAATCCTTTACTCTCCTTCAGGCTGTCATCCCATTTTTATGCTTGCTGTTTGCACCAGATCAGAGAATTTATTATGTGAAATCTCAAAGCTTCATCCTTGCTTATGTTCACACTGTCATCCCAGGTAATTTTTCCTTGGTCACTGTAGTCCTCAGTGTGGACTTTAAGCCTGTCAGATCTAACTTTTCTGCTCATCCCCATGAATACAGGTGTCCCTGGCTGCTATGTCTTATTTTGCTGCTTTGTGAAAAGCCATTTAGCAATAAACATGGAGCAGAGGATGTAAAATTTGTTGCACAATCCATCACCCTGACCTTTGCAGGAAATAAAGCTCTGCTTCGGAGCTCATCAACAACAACTCGTGGTGTGATTTACTGCTAGCCTTCCCTAATTTTATGCTAATGTAACTCTATTGATTCCTGCAGATTTGCAGTGGTATTACATGGGAGGAACACAAAAATAAACTGAGCACTCAGTGTGATGAGGGGACTGTGTGACAGAGAGCTTGCCTGTGTTTTCCAATTTTATCACCTGCCCTAATGAAAACCACTACTTCTCCATGCACTCCTCAACGCCATCAGTCCAAGCACAGTGCTAGTTTAAAAAAGTGATAAATTACCTTCTCTTACTGCTGCCTGGATCTAAAGCTATTTGGGAATTACTGCCAGTAGGTATTTAAAGAGGAAAAAAAAAAAAAAAAAAAAGAAGAACAAATTAAAATCAATTCAGCAAATGCCCCTAAGTAGTACAAACAAAGGAAAATTTGTAAATTACCTGTGCTCAGCGTATCTGTCACCAACAGGGATGACAATGTTTGGCAGTACTTTTCCAGCTGATTTGTAACCACCCTGGAGAGCAGTGAAAGTTGGCTGAAATTCTTGTGCTGCCACTTAGTTTTCTGTTTGTTTGTTGAGTTTTTTTTTGTCTCTGCACTGAGCACAAATGTTCTCCTTTGGGCTGTTTCTCTGACTTTTGGTTCGTGCTGCAGAAGGAAAAACATGAATCCCTTCACAGCTGTCATTCTGGCTTATCAAAGATTTGTTTAAAACATATTATAGTCAAAGAAAGGCTGATGTGCAGCAGACACAGGACAACAGGGTGAAAAGATGATGTAAAAACAACTCCTTTGCAAAGTTTAGAAAGCAGAGTTTAGTGTGAAGCAGAAAAAGACATACACATTAATTTGACCATATGACTGGGAATAAGGAGCACAAAGATTCTTTTTGCTAGGGAAAAATAAATCCATGGGATCTCCTCAGGTGGAAGAGCATATTCATTCCATTTCTGGCAGTGGATTCTCAGTAGGACAGAGAAAGGGTGTCTCATTTTTTGGGAGAACAAGCTTTGTACCTCACACTTTGTTCAGAAGCTTGCTTTGGTCTCAGTGTCTGGCTTCTGACACCTGCATGGGTTTATTTCCACCACAAGCTCCTGTGTGCGCCTTCTTTCAGGATGATACCTGTCAAAACAAAGCCATGAATTCAACCACTGCCCCTTCCCTCTCTCTATGGTCTTATCCCTAATGAAAACTAGAAATTAAAGCTGTGCTTTTTTTTAAAGGAAGTTTCTGGATTTTGGCAGAATATGGAATGGGAAATATGGCTAGGACAAAATGATTATCCACAGAGCAGAAGAGGGGCTAATTTAATGCTATGGGGATAGAATAATAGTACTACTAAATTTCTAGGGAATCATAGGCAAACAGTAAAACCATTTCCATGCAAGCTCAGAAGACCAAACAGGAAAATGATCTAGAGTTACTGAATTTCACTGACCAAGGCCAAAATCTGAGATTCCAACAGGAGGAGTTCATTCAGGGTGGTAAGGAATGGACCCACAGTATCAGAAGTTGTTTGGATTCAGATGACAGCAGCTCTGAGTTACAGGTTAGTTGGTGGCCATAAAATGGATCAAGAACTGACATTCATTCATTAATTTAATTACTGGGGACACAAAGGAATATTTTCCTTACCCTGCATCCATCAGCTCAGTCTTGAACAGCTGGCAACGACTGGTGAGGTACAGGCATGGCTACCCAAAAACAGGGAAGGATTCAGGGAACAAAGGAGAAGAGCTTTATTTAGGTTCCCATCCTAGCTCCCAGTTTGCCCTAGAACCTGCTGCAAAGGACCTTGTCTCTTGCCTTTCACCCAAGGTGCTGCTCCACAGCTGGGTTAGTCCTCTAGTACACACAAACACACACACACAAACACACTCCTTGTACACTTCTAAAGGTTTTCTGGTCTGCTAGAGCATGAAGGGGAAGTAAATAGCACACACAAACTGCCTTCCCATTGCAAGCAGAGAGGATCAGAATCTCAGACCACAACAGAAGAGCGTGGCCAGTCCCCTGCAGCCAAACATCCCCTCAGCCAAGCTGGGTCCATTGCTTGCTGCTCTCCAGCATTATCAGGGAATATTATCACTTATATCAGCTCCCAAATCCTTCAAATTCCACTGCATGATGTGGCAGACAGTAAGCTGGCACCCACCAAAGTAAAATGAACCCTAAATCTCTGCTGCTAGGGGCTGTGACAGGAGTAGGGGTGTGGGACTGCCCTTTTTCCCTGGCTGGGAGGGAAGGAGTGATGGGCACAGGGGAGCCGCTGCAGGAATTCCAAGCTGTGCTTCCCATTTCTTATTCTGCCTGGGAAGCATGGTCAGGAATGAGTGTGAGGGGTGGGGGAGCAGGAGGATTAGGGACAGGAGGCCTTTGGTGGAGGTGTGGGAAGCAGCCGTGAATCCAGGGCTGACAGCAGGCATGGCAGGACTGTCACGTTCACACTCTGCCTGGAATTACCTCACCACCAGCATCTCTTCCACAAAAGCTCTTTCACACCTTCTACAAATGTGTAAAAGTAAACAAACTCCCACTACTGGTTAAAAAACTCTGCCAGTGTGAGGAACCTCGAGCAGTTTTTTGTTTTTTTTTTTTTTTAATTTAAACTGAGGAAAAGTGAACAAAGATTGTGCTGGCTTGTTAAGCTGTATGTGCATGAGGACTTTGTGACCTGCTCTCACTTTTCACAGGACTTATTCTGGCTTCCCAAATGTTTGCAAAATGTAGGTATATTGCAAAATATCCCTTTTACACCCTTCAAAGGGAAACATTTTTTTCTTCACCAGTATTTGCTCTACAGTGGATTGAGTTCATCCTTCATGTCCGTGCAAAACTGAATAGAGAATTACACAGCATCACATTTGGGCATCCGCTGAGAGTTAGTGGGTACAGAGGCATATCCATAGGGTGAACCAAATTCCCTTGGTCCTTTGATTCATTTCCAACCACCAAGAGAAAGGCAGTTAAACATGTGAACTGGGATTTTTAATCCAAGGTTTCACTGAAAATTTCCATGGCTTAAAATCATGTATTTCTTAAAACAGTAACATGCAATAAAGTACAATACATGCCCCTTCCACTAAGCAAAAACCAAAATCTACAGAACCCTGTGTGTTTTCAGCAACTCAAATGCTGAGAGCCCTTGGATCCAATGTAAGCATGATGCTTTGCCTCTTGTTCTTCAGGACACTTCTGTCTAGTGTAAGTGCTCAGTGGGAATAAGAACATGAAATGACCTGAGAGAAAGCTCAGTGCATCAAGGTCTGACATATATTCCAAAAAGTAGTAGAGAAACTGTTGCCATAACAAAGTTCAGTCTTCTCTGGGAGCAATCCTGATATAAACCCGCTCACCAGTACAAAGAATAAAAGCTGGTTCTTTGGAGGGGGAAAGACACCTTTATTTGTCAGAGAGGAGCAGACAGGCTAGAAACTGTTTAAGAAAATACCTTTCTTGCATTTCAGGACACTGGGGAACGCTGGAGCTGTGACAGTGTTCTGGGTCTTCAAATGCGGATGTAAGGAAAAGAAGGCTTATTTCATCTAGACGTTCAGTGCAGAATAATTACTTGTCCCCCCTGCCTTCCTGTGTCACAGATGCAGGCAGTGGGGAGAGTTTTGCTGAGGGAACTCTCAGGTGCCACCATGTTTGCTTCAGAATAGATGTGTGCAGATGTTTTAAAACTCTCCCTGTCTGAGGATGATAAACACTGAGCTGTTTCAACTGGTTTAAGAGCAGGTGCAGCATTCCCATTTCTACACACAGATGGGAAGATGGAGCCATTCCATGCAGATGGTGAGCTGTGTAACCAAGAAATTCCTGTTCTGCATCAGCCTGCTGATGTGCCTCCTGCCAGAGGGCATCTGCAGCCTGAGCACTGCCAGTTTCCAGCCCGGGCGCTTCCCCCATTCCACCAGCACTACTTGTACAAACAGGGAGAAGGCACCACATCCCACCATCCCTCCTCTGCTCCTTCAGGCCTGGGGAAGCAGAAAATCTACACATTTATCACTCAGAAAGGCACTTTGGTGACAGTGGAAAATATTACACACAGCCATAAAAATAGTTGTGTCTCCTACCCAACAACAGCATTATTTCAATGTGATGGATGGCTTGAACCAAATAAAGTTACTTTCAGAGGCAAACCTCGACCTTCAGGGCTCTTTATTAGATATGTAAAGCTTCATCCACCAGGGCTCTCAAGCAGCTGTTTAAACATGCAGTCTTAATGAAGTCAGCAATGCTCCTGATGTGTTTCAAGCACTCTTTGCTGGATCAATGCCCCTAAAACACCATGGATGTGTTTAATGGCCCAGGTGTCACACAATGATCACCATTCCTGTCACCCAGAGGGAAATGAGTGCATGTTTTAGGCCAGATCCAAATAGTATTGGTTTTTCAGCAGGGCTACTTCCACTCCCAATACTAAGACCAGCATTACAGAGTTGTGCCTCTTCCCAAAAGCTTAGTTATTTTTGGTGTATTATTTACCTATTTAGCCAAGAGAAATTCACAGTGCAGAGTCTGTTTTAGCCCTAGTTTTAGAAGGGGTCCTCTATAGCTGGCATTATTATATATGTGAAATTCCAGGTGCACATCTGACCAAAGTAGCAACAAGCATTTTCAATCTCCATCGAATGCCTGCTAGTGATGCTCCAAAACATATTCCTCAGACTGCCTGTGTAGCTCATTCTTCTTTCTATTCATCCTTCCGTCTCTGACTAGTGAAAACATGGACACCATTATATTTATCCAACCTCATTTGCCATCTCAGCTGGGGAGAGGCTGAGCTCACGATGCCAACCAGGCCTGTGGCAGTGCTGATTGTTAGGGGCTGCAGATGCAGGAAATCCAGGCACTGCTGGCTCCTGCAGCCCAGTGACACAGCTGATCAGCAGCCAACACTGCTTCAGACAAGCAGGAGAACTCTCTTGGCTCCGTTGGCCATCATTGGGATTTCCATGGCTCAGAGCAGTTGCTTAATCATGGACATCTGATGCCATCTGAGGTTGACGAGGATGTCCCTGCTCTGACTTTCAGCTCCTGCTGCAGGAGAATGACACACTCCATGCTGTAATTCCCCAAGTACCTCTGGGAGGTACAACCTCACTGCTTATTTACTTCAGATCTTGTTAGTTTAGAAGACCTGGCTGTGTCAAGGACCAGAGTCTTTAGAAAGAGGGACCTAGTGGGACACATTTACCACTGACATTGACACAAGAGCAGTGTTTCCTTTGAAACCAAAACTCTTCTACCAAGAGCCCCATTGCTTATGAGAGTTACTAGTCAAGCGACAGTTTCAAACTTAGTAAATTAAATACTCAGTTGTAAAAAATAAAGCCTAGTGGTCAGACAGTTGAAAGAAGCAGAATATTCAAAGTCAGTTATTCAAAACAACCAAAGGAAGTCCATTTTAAAGGTATTGATGAGGCTATTTCTCCCAGACCACTAAGCATCTGAGACATTCAGATATCCAGAAACAGAGTAGACTGCAATTTATTTACCTGATCTATGCAGGCTAACGTAACTGGGGATTTAAGTAATAATTTATTGATAGACACCTATTTGTGAGCACTATATAATCCCCTGAGATTGTGGCATATTTCTTCAGGCACAAGGGGTCAGACACTTAAGACAACCTGAGAGCAGAGGGGATGCAAACACAACGATTTTTCACATGATTTTTGCAAAGCAGTATAGAAAGCACCAAAACAACAAGATCATCAAATTTGTACAACAGTGCAGTCACTGTTCCTTGGGTGTAGGCCTACCCTCTGCAAAGAATTTTTGATTTGCTGTAGCTCAGTTTCTCCAGTGGAAAATGGCAACTCTGCTGCCCGAAACAAGAAGTGCTGTGTGAATTCAGCTGCTGTGGTGCTGTCTCTGATTCTGTTCACATCTGTTGGGCTGTTGGCACAGCAGACTTGCGTGGGTCAGGAAGGAATTCTGTTTTCCACACAGTGCTGGAATGCTGGTGTGCAGAGGTGGCTGCGTGGGTTGGCACTTGTGCTGCTGTTGACTCTGATCTGTCCATGATGGCATCATTTGTACACAGCTCTGGAGAGAGCCCTTGTCAGGCTCATTTCACCATCTGGGCAGAGTCATTCCCAGAGTCATTCCCAAGGCTGACAGAGCTCCAGGAGTGTTTGATCAATGCTCTCAGGAAAAGGGTGGGATTGTTGGGGTGTCTGTGCAAGGCCAGGAGTTGGGCTGGATGATCCTTGTGGGTCCCTTCCAACTCAGTATGTTCTGTGATTCCATAGCTATGTCAACTGCAGGGAACACTAAGCAGGAATAAGCTGATTTTATGGCAACGAAGCACAAATGGGTGGGTTACAAGTTGCAGGACAAGGAGGCTGATCATAGATCCCAAAAAGCTAATGATGATATGCAAGGAGATAGCCAGCCATTCCTCAACCAGGTCAAGGTGAAGACAGGTAGGAAGGTGGGCACCTTCGTATTTGAAACTAAAACCCAGGCAAAACTGATCTCTGCTCAGGTTTGATTACAAGCACGAATCTCAGGTTGGGTTCATCAAAGATCCAGGATGGGATCTGAGTATTGAGTGAAATGAGCGCTCAGATTTCCAGCAGGTCCAATTCATGTTTAGGCTTAAGCCCAGCTCTCAGGCTGGGGATCTACAGTTGCAGAAAGGAAGGTGACAGACCTAAGTGGTTCTAACTGTAAGCCACTCCAAACTAAGATCTGGGGAAGTGCTGCTGCTTTTTATTATCTGGTTACATGAAGAATAAAATGATGTCAAAACAAAAATAAAATAAAATAAAATTCCTTGTGCCTCCCCATTTGCACGTAATTTTTTGTCTTTTCTAATTAATCTCCCTGCAATGCTGAGATGCTAATAAAATCAGAGGGAGAAAGGATTTTTATGGGACCTGGAGCTTGCTTGAAAACTAATAACCTTGCTAAAGCAGATTTAAGAGATGCAAGGTGCAGCCTTGCTCTGTGTGCAAACCTTGACTCAGCACATATGCAAACAGGCTCCAAAAATAGCTTGCACTTTCCCAATTCACATGTGATGCATGTGCCACAATTCTGCACTGTGCTTCCCAAAAATAGCACTCACACACCATTGGCTGGTCTAAATCCGTGGACATTTAGCTTTTTTCAACCCAGCATCAAAGCACGCGGCTGCACAGCTTTTTCATAGAGGGATTTTTCTCCTGGGCGCCTCCCCCTCTATTCACAAAAATAAAGAGATTTATCCCCTCCCCTGTGCAATTGCTTAAGATCCCCGTGGCAACTGCAGAAACCCCTCGTGAGGAGAAGTGACATTAGGTGTTGGCTCAGAGGTATTTTTAGCTTTTTGCTGTGCTCTCTAGCAGCTGGGAGCAAAGAGGTAACCCGTCACCTTGAAGCCAGCCAATTCCCCTGGAACAGCAGCCAGGGCTCTCTCTGCAGAGCAGCAACCCAGAAACCACAGCCTGACAAGCAGGGCTTGTCTGCATGCAGATCTGAGCAAGGAGCTTGGTTAGGGACTGAATGAAAGCCTGCTCTCCTGTATTTCAAGGGTAGAGACTGAATGAAGGGCTTCTCTCCTGTATTTCAAGGATAGAGACTGAATGAAGGGCTTCTCTCCCATATTTCAGGAATAGAGACTGCATGAAGGGTTTCTCTCCCATATTTCAGGAATAGAGACTGCATGAAAGTCTTCTGTATTTCAGGGGAGCAGGTGAGTTTCTGGGACAGGGCTGAAAAAGCAAAGCACTGATCAGGTCACTGGGATCAAGGCCAGGGTGGAGGGAGCTCTGAGCAACCTGGGCTAGTGGGAGGTGTCCCTGTCCATGGAGGGGGGTGGAATGAGCCTTTCCAACCCAGGCCATTCTATGATTCCGTGATGACCATTCCTTTGGAATAAAGCAGCTAGGGAGCTGTTTGCATGGTCCAGCCGAACTCCAGGGCACTGTGGGTCCAAGGATGCCTCACAGGTTTCTACCCACACTTCAGATCATGGTTACACACCCATTGTGTTAAAAACACAGGAATAGGACACAGCAAGAGTCTACACCTCGTGAAGGGACGCTGAGAAATCCTTTGAGGACTTTGGTTGCTAAAGCAAATATGGCACAGACACAGAGCAAAAGCACTTAAAGTGTCCATTCAAATGCAGCCCAAAATGTTCAAGAATGACTCTGTCCCACCAGGCCTTATGTCAGAGCAGATGCTGCTCTTCCTGCAGCTGTGGTGAGCAGCTCCCATGTCTGCTATCAGACAGAAATGCAGAAATGCAGCAGAAATGTGAGGAACATCCATACCTTCTTTCCAGTGGTCCTGCTGGATGATCCAAAACTGCTTTAATCCCATATCAGTGATCATTAGTTGTGCAACAGCCTGAAGGGAGAAGACACCTGTGTTACATGAGTCTTATCATTAGCAGATAATGTCTTCAAGTGCCTGTTCTGATAAGAACAGCTCTGAAGCAAAGGGCAGTGTGCCTTCTTGGGGCTGTGCTGTGCAGGACTAAGGGCTGGCCTCGGTGAGCCTTGTGGATCCCTTCCAGCTCAGGAGGTTCTACAATTCTATATTCTGTCATCTATCTGATAACACTGATATGAACTCCAAGCCTGAGGGAAGGAATTTAGCCTGCAGAAAATCCAGGGACTGAGAGACAGCCTGGGTCAAACTCATTTGGGATCGATACTGCAAGGTCCCAAGTACTCAATGACAGCACACCCCACCTCCTTTTCCTTATCTAAATAGTCTGCTACTACCACTACCTTGCTTATCAAGTCCTGCTTCACCCTTATTGAACTCCAACAGCTTTGCTCTTAAAATATACAGGCACACAAATATGCTGGCATGACTCAGAGGTGGTAACATCAGTGGGGATTTTTTTGCATAGCAGGAATGTTTAAAGATAAAAATTAATGCAGCTACTCCAGGGGCAGAGGGAGAAGTCAAGGAACTGGCATCTCAAATCCCATTACCTGTGGGTATCTTTGCAAGCACTCACAGCCTCTGACCAAGGGCCTCTCACATCTGCTTCAGCTCATGGTGGAGATGCTCAAACCTTAAAAACAGACGTTGAAGGGGAAACCTCTTGAGGGTTTTCAGCTTTCCTTCTGTTCAGCCATCTTCACTGCAACACCAGGATCTAACACTTCATTATTCCCAAGGAAAACAGGAAATTTTTGCCAGAAAGCACTTGGGGGTGTTGGTGGGCGAGAGCTGGCCCTGTCCCAACTGTGTATGCTGGGACCCAGAACACTCCTGTGCTGGGCTGAGCCCCCAGCGTGGGCAGCAGGGGAGGGCAGGGGGGATTCTGCCCCTCTGCCCCGCTCTGCTGAGACCCCCCTGCAGGGCTGCATCCAGCCCTGGGATCCCAGCACAGCAAGGACAGGGAGCTGCTGGAGCCAGGCCAGAGCAGGGACACCAAGGGGAGCAGAGGGATGGAGCAGCTCTGCTGGGAGGAAAGGCTGAGGGAACTGGGATTGTTCAGCCTGGAGAGGAGAAGGCTTTGGGGTGACCTCACTGTGGGAACCCACAGGAAAGATGGAGAGAGACTCTGGATAAGGGTCTGGAGTGACAGGACAAGGGGAATGGCTTCAAAATGAGAGAAAATAGGTTTAGATTAAACAATAAGAAGAAATTCTTCCCTGTGTGTGTGCTGAGACCCTGGCACAGGTTTCCTGGAGAGGCTGTGGCTGCTCCAATCCTGGAAGTGTTCCAGGCCAGGCTGGATGGGGCTCTGGCCTAGTGGAAGGTGTTCCTGCCCAAGACAGGGGATTTGGAAATGGATGATCTTTTAGGTCCCTTCTCACCCAGCCATTTTATGATTTTATGGTTCCTATCCCTCTTTTCCCAGCCCTTCAACTCCCATCTGATTTTCAGATTCCTACAAGCCACTCCTTGGGGACAGCAGTGCTCCAAACCCAGTTTGCAGTGGAAGTACAGCAGTGACCTGGAGCTGCTGACTGGGCAGGGGTCACAAAGGGTGGCTGAAAGGATGTCCCCAAAACAGAGGCTCTGCTCCATTCCCCCATTGTCGGAATCTGTGGTGTTGATGATTCCGGGATTGTAAAAAGTCTCTGTCTGTCAGCTCCGCTGCCAAAGAAGAAGCCATAATTCGTCTGTGCTGGTTTCAAGGTTGTTTATTCTGTTTATCTCTAACATGTTCTGCTGCCCTGCCGCAGCTCTGTCCTGCAGGGCAGCGTGTGGGGCTCTGCCCTCAGTGGGATGTTACAAACATTAAATACCAGAAACTACCTGTGCTGGATTTACAATAATGTGCCAATATCTGTCACCTACGTTGAACAGTGTGTCCCCAGCCTAAACCAATAGAAAAATGCCAACACTACAGTGAAACATGGAGGGCATGAAGAAGGAGAAAAAGGACAAGACACACTCAATTTCCTCCATCTTGTCCCCTTTGGACCCCTAATCTAGAATGCTAAAATTTTACTTTTGCACCCGTGCCACACTTAATTATTACTGATATTAAACACTCAGAGCTTGTAATTCATCCTGTAAGATTGAAAACTCTTTTCCATGGACAGAGTTCAGAGACAGTGTCTCTGGGGGCTCTGTACAGTGGGGTTCCTGACCCCCTGCCAGGGTCCCAGGCCTTCCAGGGTAGCCAGAGGGAAGCTCTGGATTCCCACACCCCATGAGCAGAGTGGGCTCAGCTTTTGCTGGAACACCTCCTCTGCTCGGCGGCGCAGACATAGCCCACAGCCCCGCTGAGCTGGCACAGACTGTGGGCTAGAGCAGTGCCCAGGAGTTGGTGTGTGACAGACAGGCTAGATGTGGGTCACCAAGGAGCTTCTGGATGCCACCATGCAGCTGTGGGATGTGGGGATGTGCACATGAGGAAAGGCAGCCTTATTTATGCAGAATTCTGAATAAATTCCCTGCTAACCTCCCAGCCATCTGTTGTGATACCTTCAGAGGAGCCAACCAGCTCAGCTGCCAGCAGCACGAAGCAGAGCTGCTGCCTCCTCAGAGCATGGGGGCTACTGCCAGCAGAACTTGAAGTCAGGCAGTTCTCCTGGGGGCTTCCAAATGGTTGCTCTTTGTGGCATGAAATGTAAGAAGAGTGTCAGACACCTGCCATGAAATGCAAACCTAGGCAAAACCCCCCCGGTTTGGTTACGAATGTGAGTCTCAGGTTAGGTTCACAAAAGTTCAAAGGTCTCCTGGTGAACTTGAGATGGGCCTTTTGAGAGCCAGAACTGGGTGCTGGGAAATTTAGAGCCCTGAGCAACCCTTTGAGATCAAGGTATGAGTGAGGAGGCACCAAACAAAGAGGCAGGTTCATGCAAGAGGTTGGGAGGGCAGAGTGCAGCAGCTCCAGGTCGCTGCTGTACTTCCACTGCAAACTGGGTTTGGAGCACTGCTGTCCCCAAGGAGTGGCTTGTAGAAATCTGAAAATCTGATTTTCAGATTGGGACAGGAGGGATAAGAATCATAAAATCATAGAATGGCTGGGTGGGAAGGGAGCTAAAAGATCATCCATTTCCAAGTCCCCTGTCTTGGGCAGGGACACCTTCCACCATCCTAGGTTGCTCAGAGCCCCATCCAACCCGGCCTTGGACTCCTTGCTGCAGGATGCTGTGAATGGTAGCTGTTTACAAGTGTTCAGCTGGTCAAACTCATGGAAGAGAAATCCCTTGGAGGTTTATATTTGAAATAAATTCCACCAAGCTGTGAAGCTTCTGGACGTTTCCTGGGTTCAGGGAATGGACTCAGAGCAAGAACAGCACTAAGAGTCATTCTTGAGTACTGCATTATTTCCTTGACCAGCACTCAGGGTTCAAAGGTGCAAAAGTATTTATAATCTCAAGTTTTACTGAAACAAGGGAGTTTAAGTTTCTATGTCTTTGTGATTCTGCAGAAGGGTGGCTCACCACCTCCCACGGGGACTTTTGCTCAATCTTCCCATGGCATTCACACAAGTGACTGATGGAGGAGGTGCTCCACATGTGTCCACGATCTGTAAAATCAATATTCAAAGGCTCAACTTAGCTAGTACAGCCCAAGGAACAAATCTATTTATTTGAAGGGCAGGAATCATCCTGTTGGGCAGTGTTGTCTACAGCAGGAAGCAGAGAAGAGACATTGGCTTAAGCATCCATGAAAAGAATAAATTCGGACATCATCCCTCACATTTGGGAGGGGATCAGAGCATGACATGGGCAAATACTACATTCATCACAGACGATGTGTGATCATCTCCTGTGAGGGTGGGGAGGCCCTGGCACAGCTGCCCAGAGCCCTGGAGGTGTTCCAGGCCAGGCTGGGTGGGACTCTGAGCAACCTGGGATAGTGGATGGGCCCATGGCAGGGGCATTGAGCCACATGGTCCTGGATGTCCCTTCCAAGCCAGGCCATTCTGTGATTTCCATGGAGCCACCAGAGCTCAGTGACAAATCTTGCTTCCCTTGCAGACAAATGTTCCCCCACATCAACTACTTTGACTGACATGAGTGGAGCAGTGCCAGCTTACACCAGCAGTACATCTGCTCCCACATCTTTACATAACTGTTCCTGAATTCCCCCCCCCCCTTTTTTTTCCCCCTCCCCACAGGTAAAAAGAAGCTGTGATTACGCTGGATTCATTTGAGAAATTCCACCAAAACTGATGACACCATGATGATTATTACCAGTATTTGTTTCTGTTCATATTTTAAGCTCTTTAAACTTTTCCCCATGTTTCCTTCTGAGCTGGGCTGTAAAATTAATTCCCAATATAAAAAGCAAGGGGGAAAAACAGATTTGTAAAAACATTAGACATGCAGCAAGACTTGGGCCAAACCTGATTTACAGTCACTCTAGATGATCTAATAATGTACAGATCAGATTCATGCAGCAGTGAGCAATTTGAAGGTCAGACCAAGAGTGTTTCAGAAAAGGGGAAAGCCACGAGGCAAGCAAAAGGATGCTCTGTGCAAATGAAACACTTCTCAGTGGGGCTCTGCTTGCAAAAGCATTTTTCACCCTCAATATTAATGTTTATCTGTTCTAAAGCATCACCTATGGTAAATGCCAGGCATGTTTACTATATGCACGGTGTTGACATCACCCTAGAGAAAATAACAATGGTTTGGCAGCCTGCAAAGTCTTTTTAAAAATAGACTGTGAAGCCCCTGAGAAAACGACAGGCTCTAAAAATAGGATTAGAGCTGAGGAAGGCCAAAAAAAAAAAAAAAAAAAAAAAAAAAGGAGAAATAAAAAAAAGCTTTCCCGATGCTAAAGCTCAGGGTCAGCTGCAAAATGTGGGGTTCCTTCAAGGACACATAATGAATGCATTGCAGTGCTCTGCAATGAATGAAAGCTCCCTCTCTGAGGTTTTCCTGTGCCGCACTGGCCTCTCAATGAAGGGGGGAAGAGGGAAAAGGCACAATTTTAGCAAATCCAAGTAGAAACAATCTAGGATTTCCACTCCTTCCTAGCCCTGACCAGCCCTTGATAA